GTCGCCAAAGAATGCTCTTATTTGCGTTTGGTGCAGCGGAAACAAAATAAAAAAAAAGAGAGAGGAAAAATACATGGCGTGGAGAATCGCCCGTAAATGCTCGGCTTTTGTGAAATACAGCGGCCGACCATAACGGTGTGCCGTTTGCTCGATAATTATCGACGCGCTCGTATACGTACGTGCGTGCGTGCGCACGTGTGCACGTAGTTTTGCAACAAGATCTTTTATCCGATCCGTCGGGCGAAACGAAAAACATAGGTACGCAAATCGTTTGCGAATCGTACACACGCACAATAGAACACGCCTGTTCATTCAGCGATGTATAAAACTAGTTTTCGGTAACTTTTTACGTAAATTTCTCCCATTAAACTCCGATTGCGGGCCGATTGTTCGGCCACAATCGCAGTCGTAGCGCGCAAGCACGCGCGCAGCCGCCGCCAATTAAAATTAATTCGCCCGGCCTTTCTGCGCGTCTAGACGTATCTCTTCGATTAACGCGCTTATCGCGATTGTTCCGCTTCCCTATTCCGAAACACGCCGCGCGATCGACGAACGCACGTCCTCGTTAAGCGCCCGAATGGATGATTGTGCCGAAAATCGCGGCGCCGCTTGATCGCCGAAACGGACGACGTGATCGCGCGGCCGGCTGCGTGTCCGCCAACATAAGGGTTGATCCTGGATTCAGCGGATCTCGCCGCGCGGAGGATTTCGTCCCATTCGCAGCGGAAACCCAATTGCGCGGCTCTATGCGTCATTAGCGCTGGAAACGGAGTTAACGCCGTTAAATCCGGGTCGGTCGGTCCGGCTGCGATATTATTCGCACTTGTGCCGACCGTTCGTTCATTCGTTCGCTCGCTCGGTCAGTCGCGCAGATGCGTCGCCGAAATGACGATCTCGTGCGAAATGCGGATGAGCGATCGTTCGTTCCACGAATAACGTCATTTCTGTCGGACAATTTTCTTCTCTAAAAAATTAACAAAGTTTATAAGGCTCTCGTGTGACAAACACAAATTCGAAGGAGAGACTGAAGAGCCGTGACAGGATCTTACACTCAGAAAAAAAGATTTATTTAGGTTAAACAAATGAGATACGTTTGAATCTATTCAGTTTTTATTTGCTTCTACTAAAACATTCGCTAGATTTGAAGAAATGATACAGAAATCATTTCTTTGAAATTAAATAAAAAGTCTAGTAAGGTCAAAATTCAAAGAGAATTTGTTGTTTACTTCAAAGAAACTTTTTCTGGGTGCAGTGTCTAAATATTTAATTAAAATTGATCACATTTTTTTCTCGTCTCTTTCCCCTTCTGCCCGATTGCCGTTGCATTCTCTGGTGGCCTCGCATAACGCCTTTGATTTGCGCCCTAGTTAGTAACCGAGAAATTGTGGAGGGAGAGTTTTGAATTTTATCACGCGCACACAGATTCAGTGATACGAGATCGTTTTTAAATCTCCATCGTGCTCTTTTGCGCCCGTCAAAAATTTCACAACTAATTTTTATGTTGGCACGTTCACGTGCGCACGAGATAATTACCCTGAATTTCGCGGTGAATCGGGAAAGCCCGGATTATAATCGCGGTCCCAGAATTGCGTTGTTTTACGTAGCGAAATAAATTTTTCTTACGCTCGAAAATTTACCGACGAGAAATTTTATTTCCTTTAACGTTCTATCAATATCGAATCTCGTCTCTTTGCCAATATTTTCCATGGCTTATTCGGCAAATATTTTCGATCTATAATACACAAACTAAAAACTGGGTCACTTCACTGATGCGAAATGAACTACTACGCGGGCAGAACGAGTATTTCAGTATTTTTACATTTACCAGCGCGTATACAAAGGCGCAAATAATTTTTGTAGATAACGCAAATGTACGGATACAACGGGATGAGCCGCTAAGCGCGCAATACCTGGTATTCGATAAAAACAAATGCGTTTATTACGCGCGTCCTTAAAATGTTTATTTTAATCGCATGCATTTAATTAAATATGTCATAATTTGTTTATGGCCACGTACGTGGTTACGTGTGTTGTTTACGCGTTGCGAATTCACAACCGTGCATCCGCTACATTAACAAATTGCTTTTTCGCTAATGGAAAGATTACATCAGCTGCAGATCATAGTGTAGATACAAAGGATAGTGCGTTGAAGTAAACACAAATACCGCATGAAGTAATACCACTGTTTGCCTAGTGCTTCACTTGTGCGTTAACAATTAATTAATTTGTGCCATTACATATGCTGTAATTAGCGTAAGTGTTCGGATACAAATCCAAAACGCGTTGACATATGCAGTTAGATAAATTCAAAATAACGCGGCAACGTTATAATAATTTTCTCATTCAGTCCAACGGTTAGATCAACTGGTGATATTTGAGAGAACTCTGATATTAGAGGCCTCCTTTTTTTTTCCGCGATGAATCGCAAGCTTTTTCAGAAAGTCGCTCCGATTCTTCTTATTCCGCGTCTAATCTAATCTGTAGGCGAAATTTGAAAGTAAGCACTAACGCCATATTTGCACGTGTTTACACAGCGTATATTTATCTTATTCTCTGAAATTATCACGAGATTGTAATCTCGTAACTTTCCTGAAATACAATGTATTAAATTGTTACTTCTCTCTGTTTTCCTTTACTAATTCTCATTTATTAACTTGGATATATACCGAGGAGAACTCCTTCAAATATTCAAACACGGGCGGTTGTATTTACGAAAAGCAAATGAAATATCGTAAATTAAATACGAAAATTATACAATCGTAGCAACGTGCTCGCGGCAATATCATTCAACGGAGAAAACTTATATCAGTTTTACGTAAAATATATATATATATAACAACGGACATTTTATCCGGATAAAATTGAATTTCTCGATATCAAGTTTTCTTTGAGGCGCTCAAAAGCTTCAAGGTAGTTTGCAAAAAAGGTACGTTGCAAAATACAGATTGTTTTTTACGCTTTTACCCGGACGAGATAATAAATTTTAAGAAAGTTATCAAGTTAAACGCATAATAAGACATGCCCCGCGGCACTTTTCGTAGTACTTGACTTACAATAACGACGAATCCAGCTGACTCGCCGAGATCCTCACAATCGAGCAACGAGCCTCGGCGCTTTTGTGCATGAGAAACTATCATTTCAATACCGGCCGCGACGAGAAGACGCGACGAGGCTTTAAGTAATATCGATATCGAAAGGCGGGTGTTGAAGAAAGGGAGAAAGGGGAGGAACGTTCGAGAGAGAAAGAGAACGGGGAGGGGGTGGAGCAGCGGGCGTTGCGAATGCATCGATATTGAATTGAAAATGGATCGCGCGGAAAACGGAGAGGACGAGAGAGGACTCGGTAGCATTCGGTGGCGAATATAACCGCGATCCGCACATAAACATCCTCCTTCCTGCCTGTCCTGCGTCTTTCACTCCTTTACTTATCCGCCGCTTATATATTATGAGCTTGGAAATGCAGTTATCGCGAAACCCCCTCGCCTCTTCTCGGAACGATTACGCGACGTTTTATTAATCTTGCCGCTGTTTTCTCTCCGTCCCCCCCCCCCTCTTTCTCTCCCGGGGCAAATCAATTTTCTCTATACCTGGGCTTGATTTCTATAATGGAAGAGCGAAATCGCGCTGCTCTTCCTCGTCGTTCGCGATAATAAAACGGACGGAGGACGGCGCGGTGCAGGTAATGCTTTTTATTAAGTTTTCCCCGATAAACGTACCACTTGACTGTCACGGATGCGACTTGGCGACCCGAGTCTCCGGGGAATTTTCCTTTACGCCAAGTTGCGCACGAGGACGATTTAGAAATACGGGATTATTAATTTCATGAACACTCAAAGGAGAAAAGAATCCAAGCGAAATTCACTCGGGGTCTCGAGAGATCCGCCATTCTCTTTTCCCGTTGTATTTTTATTTCCCCACGAAATTACAATATAAATTATTACGATGTGTAATACGGCTGTACGACGCAAGTTGCCCCGCAAGGAGTATGTTTATTGAAACAAACGCGAGTGGAATAAAACGAAAGGAAGCATTTTTGCAGAATCAATTGCCACGTTGCCACGGCACGACGTAATTAAAACGAAATTCATCCGTGCGTACAAGTTTGCCCTGAAGCCCGCCTGCGTTTTCGTTCCCTTGAATTTTGTCGTCTGCTCCGCGCGTGTTTGCCCGCACGCGAGTTTCAGATATTCCATTACGACTCGCGCTCCGAGGTAAATATAAAAATGCTTTCCGTTCCTGCCCGCGTGTTTTACCTTCCCGCGCATAAATCAGAAAAGAATCTCGACGTAACTCCCCGGGATCGGTTTCGGGTTAAAGTAACTGCGCAAACTTGGTCAGTCGCGCGTCCCTTTTTATCTCAAAACCGCGCGAGAGATTTTGCTCGGCGAGGCTACAAAACGTGAACGCTTTATCGTATCGCGGCATTGTAGCCAAGTAATTAAGTAGTAAAACGTATTGCATATCGGACCTTAATTCATTAGTCTCGCCATATAAAAGCGCTGACTCTTGGGTCATTTCAGTTTAATCCAATTAGGCGCGTCTAAAATACATCTCTAAAAGTTGTACAATATATAATTATTATGCGTTAACAGCGAGAAAAATAACTAGAATCAAGCCAGAATAAACAACTGTATGCAGGGTGAGTTGTAAAGGTTGTCCCAACCTTTTATCATAAAAGATGAATTGCCGACCGCGACTGTAGCCAACTCGAAAAAAATGGATACAATCTTGTTCTACATGTCTCAGTCATGTAATATCTAATTACATTTTCGAGAAATAATTAGATATGACATGATTTTAACACGTAGAACGAATCCATCTTTTCCCCGAGTTGGCTACAGTTGCGGTCGACAATTCACCTCTTATGGTAAGAGGTGAGGACAGCCTTTACGACTCACCCTGTATGTGAAAAAGTATATATTTATTGACTAATTTACTTGAAACATTTAAATGACTTGTGCGTGCCCCATCGCTAACAAAATCATCTTTTGTTGTTGCAGGCGTTTCTTGAAATGGCGGACGAGAATGCTGCGGCGACCATGGTGACCTACTACGCTTCCGGTGTGGCCCAACTCAGAGGCAGAGCGGTCTACGTGCAGTTCAGCAATCACCGTGAACTCAAGACGGATCAAACGCACTCCAACAACGCGGTCAGTAGCCCAACAAATGATGTCGCCAACACTTCTGAGGTCTGTGTCATACTTCTCGCTTCACTTCTTTCTCGCTTTACTAAACCCCGGGAACGGCTGCATGAACGCTATTCTCGCCAAACTGACTCACTTTCGATCTCCTACTAACACTCGCTCGCTTTTTTCTTCTCTTCTGACGATGGTATTTACGACAGGTATCTAAAAGCGAAAAACTTTCAAGTACCCTCGCGAATGAGTAATCGCGTTGTGTCGTCGGATATTGCCTCGTCTTCAGTGCGATAGATTTTTCATATGATTAACTACGTTATAATAACGCTGAACGATTTTTAAGGCCTGCGTCCACGATGCTAGATGCTCGGTCCGAGTTCTAGCATCGTGGACGCAGGCTTTTATCGGCGAAGAGAGGAAAGAGCGCGCTCCGCGCCCTGTCGATGACGGTGACTTCGATGCCTCGAGGCGTTGGCTGAGAGCGGCAGGCACGAAACCAGGGGATCCTGTCGATACAATGGCCGTTAACTGCGCGGTCAAATTAGCTTCGGCAGTACGTTATTTGTGCGGTTTAATTAATTAAGCCGATATCTGCAGCCCCTTGCATATATCTTCCACCGGTCATCCGGGCGGCATCGAAACGCACGGTGCGAGCATGCGAGAGCGGGACAACGCCGCGGCCATCCCGCCGTCAAGTCAATCTAAACACTCGCGTCCGCAAACTTCGTTATAATTAATGCGTCCATAATTTATGAACGATCCCTCGGGCGCGAGCGAGCGCGCGGCGGCTCATCCCGCCGCATCCCCGCTGCTAAACCCCTCGTCTACGTGACGCACGGGTCTCGCGCACACTACCTGCAACTTGCGCGTGTCATCGTGCGCTGCCGGTCATCATCGGAACTAGTTAACTCGCTGCGCAATTCGGGGCCGCACGGCCGTACCGTGAATGAAATTTGTCAGCGAATTAATTAGCACGCGAACTCAACCGGCGATTCAATCAACGGAATTCAGTTAGGGTGCTTGCGTCATTGTGCGACGTGCGTCCCTCCTTTTAACCGGCTCCTCCGAGGACTCGCGCCCGCTCCAAGCGGTCGATGTGCGGCTCCGTTTACAATCGGAAATCCGACGAGAACGATACGAGACCGCGGCGCGGCCGTCGCCTTTCGATTCCGCTCGCGGATGGGTCGAGAGTGACATCGGGCGAGGCCGGTATTATCGTTAACCAGCCCCCGCCAATTCGCGTCGTCGACATCGTAACTCCGTAAGTTTCCCGATGCCACACTATGTCGGTCTCTGTCCGCCTCCCTTCTCCGAGTTACCGAACTGCCGTTGCCACCCTCCTTCCCCTGGGGGGGTGGAGGGGGCGCAACTTCGCGGTGGAAACGGACACCGATCCCACGGGGAATCCTCCGGGAAAGTTTCACGTGTATCGGGACGAGGGGGCGTAGGGGCGAGGCGGGTGATGGTCCGCACGAAAAATAATAAATAAGGAAGTAAATAGCCCGGCGACGCGCTTCGTCGTCGCTGATGCTTTTCTCCTGACGCGCGGAAAACTTTCCGCATACGTGACCGTGGAAACTTTACAATCCACAGGATTTACAGAACCGCGACGCGTCGTTTACCTGCGAACAAAATTCATCGTAATTCCAGGAAATTCCTGTGAGCAAATCTTATGTTCTTCCCCCCTTCTCTCTCTCTCTCACACACACACACACACACACACTACATCATTAGTGCTTCGTTAAATAAAGGCGATCGTAAAACACGCGGAAAAAGAACGAGACGAAGTTAAAGTGACTTTCTTGATGTTTAATGTTTTATGCACACCGGTTTTTCATACGCAGGATTTTCTATTCCTAGTAAATATTGAAGTCGTTTCGAACTTACTTCGTCAAGACTTAATTTACAACGTTTATTCTTTAAGTTTTTCATATATAAGTGTAACCTGGTGAGTAAATTTTACTTTGAAGATTTTCACCTCGAGCGCGTAGAGGAAATGTTAAGTATATCTAAATTTATTACTGCTTATTCACTTGTGATATTAAACAGTTTATTTAATTCGGCATAAAATTTTTGATGAAAGAAAATTAATTACAAGTTGCGTTAAAGATAAATATCTCCGCAGAAATACGATTTGCATTTAAATATATTTAAAGCCTCTCCAATTATCGTTGCTAAAGTAACGTCAAGAGTTGAGCAGTCTTTAACATTTATTGTAAAAGTTTTACAAACAAATATGAGAAAAACAGCAATCTTTTCAGAAAAATTCATTATTGATCAAGTTTTTTAAGATTATTTCTTGAAAACTTTGTACAATGGGGTTTTCAGGGTCGCTCATTACGAATCTAATGTCAGATTTTCAAAATTAAAAATGGCCGACCCAATATGGATACAAAGTACGTGAATTTGTTAAATTTTCAAGTTTTTCAGCATTTTCATTTGATTACGGTATTTAGGGATTCCACCAAATAAAAATTTTAGTTTCCACCAAATTATAAATTCAGATACGATCTAAAAAAATGTATCTCTTCAAACATTTCTAGCCAATCGTAATTTTATCATCGATAAAGTTTTGTGGCTCCAATTATTTGTGACTGAACTATTTCCGCTCGACGATAATTGCCAACGCCGCAAGTTAAAAGCGTCTAAATGCAGTATCATTTGTATAAGAGCGATATTAAACTTACCTTCGTATCTTTCTTAAGGGGAAAAAAAAGAAAAGAAATCGCGACGGCACTTCTGAAGTGGATGCAAAGGTGGTCGGCGAAGGGTTTCACGGCGCGGTTCCGTTTCCTCCACGGTCGAATGATTTCTCGCCGGGCGTCCAGACTGACAAACGACGCCGAAAAAGCAATCGCCGTGAAAGCCTCGGCGATGCACCGCTCGTGCATCGGGCCTCTGTGTCTACGTGGGCGACGATGATGCCGGAAATTTTGCCGGCCTGAACGCAAGACAAACGTCGCGCTTCCTCCAGCCACCGGCGTGCCCGCCGCCTGGAACGGGGAATCAATTTTACATGAACGAAGAAACAAATCCGCGTCGACGGCTGCCATGAAACGCGCGTCGGTCCCATGGCCTTTTACTCCCGATTAAAATACCGCCGCGCAATTTCAACGCTGGACGAACGAGTTCCTTCGTTCTCGTGTATTATTCGATTCGATTTTTTAAAACTTTTATACTCTTATTTAATCTATAGTATTTTTATTTTAGATGTTGGCCTTTTTTTGGTCTCTTCTCGGCTTACTCTTTGGTATGTGCGAAGTAAATTTTGCTATTACTTTTCTCGAGTATACAAGTATGAGAGGCATCTGCTAGCAATTGCGAGGAAAATTAACAGTCTTAGGGCAACAGTCTTCTGCAATAAGTTGTTAGTCGTTAGTTAGAAGTCGGGGCTGTGTGTTCGGCCTTTTTTCTGGACGAAAGAAGAAGGATCGACATGCAGTCCCGACTTCTGATTAACGACTAACAACTCATTGTACAACGACTCTTGGACTTATTGCTAGAAGTCTTCGGGTATCGATTGCACGAGATATATAACTGCGGCCTGGACGAAACAGGTCGGCGAAGGCGGCCGGGAGAAATCAAATTTAGCGAAAGAGAAAGAGGGTACGAGAGAGGGAATATATTTATGAGTAAAACGCGACAGCCCCTGGGGGTGATGTGTCGGTTAAGTAAATGCCCGGTTGGCGAACTCATTTAATAAAGACGCCATGCGCCGCGGCGCCTCGGCATTGTTTAGTAATTAATTTAGAGCTCGCCGCCCCGCAACGAGGAACCGCCGCTGTTTAGTACAGAAACGAGCGAGATAAAAATAAGTATTTCGGGCGACGTACGATAAAAACGCGGGCGAGTTATAATGCGACGGCGCTGCGTCCGAAAAATAGATTATTATCAAGAGAGATCTAATTAAAAGCAAATTAAACGCCATTGAAGTAAACCGTGCGAGCAATTAGACGTTTTCAATTACGCGCTTTGAATGTGCAAAATTACATGGAAATTGAAATAATATTGATACACGTTTGAATAACAGATATATGATATTACGTCGAAATTGAAAATATGTTTTAATAATACGTACTGAAGAACCGAATTCTCTCTCTACGTTACGTCACCTTGGATAACACCGGCTTTTATCTAATTGCGCGAGCGTAAGCGCCCAGGTTCGATACGAATTGCCGCGTAACCTCATTGCGAATTCAGTTTGGACAACTTATTTCGCGCGTGTCTAGCCAGATCGAATTGTTTTCACGCGGTCGCAAAGTTTCGGCGATATCGTCAGCTTTGCAGTCCACTTTTAACCTCTCGAAATGCACTTTACCCGAGTTCCCAAGCTCGCGGAAAGCTTTCCGTCGCAAGTCCGGGAACTCGTACCCGGAATTAAGATGTATTTTTACGTGGTTTCTCGCCCGTCGCGCAACATCTTCTCCCCTCATCCCCGGTGGTTCCCGGTTAGTTGGCAATTTGGATTAATTTAGATGTTGCCGGCTGCTTTTACGCGGCCGCTTTTATCGCCATCCCCGTCCCCGTTCGGATGATTTTGCTTTTGTGCTCGAAACGCCGGCGGGATTTAATTTGAACGCGCGCGTAAATAGTTTGGCATGCACCGCGCGCGAAGTTTCCCAGTGATATATCTATTTATAGGCGGAGGTGTGCGTTACGGAAAAACGAGGAACACGAACTTGGGGGAAAGTGAGAGAATTTGAGGTCTTTTTTTTTCATCAGGTTGACGCGTCACTCGCCGCCCGTCGCTCCTTTCGCCTCGCCGTTTGTTGCATTTATTTGCAATATTTTTTAACTCGATATTATTATTTAAAAATTTACGGTACGCGACGTCAACTTCAGGACGAAAAAGGGCAAAAAGCGCCCCGGTGTTTTTAATTACAGCGGCGCTACGCACAAACTATACCGGTATTTTATATTGTTAACCTCTCGGCGCTAATTGGTATTTATTCCGCACTTTTACGTATCATTGTCAAATGTGCCGGTAAATATAGAATAATAACTGTAAACCACAGAGCTCTTTGCCGCGCAAGCCATTTGTTTTTACATAT